TAAAAAATACATACTTACATGAATTTTACTAATTAAAAAATATTAATTTATAAACATATTCTAAAAAAAAGGATTTGAAGCAATCAAGAACCATTTTCATCAATGATGTTTATTTATACATTTACAAGAGATATTAACTAAAACTACTTTTAATATCGACTATTGATTTCTTAAAAAGCCACTAAATATGGCATAACTTAATAAAATGTGTATAATAAGAGGTTTAAATAACACATTTACTTAAAGGTATATCTTATCATAATCAAATAGTTTTTTATATTGTTCTTTAAATATTGAAATATTTTTTCTCAATTAACTTTTGGTTCAATATTATTATTGTTTGTTAAATAATGGAAATATAATAATTCTAAAATTAATAAGATATGACCTATTTTAGATAAATATCAAAAGATATTATTATATTTTGAAGGTTAAACTATGTTTTAAATCTTAGACTTTAAAATTGATAATGAATATAGTTTAATATTTTGAACTCTTTTTTAATTAAAATGGGAGTAATTTCTTTATTCAACGAACACTTAATTATATATTTAGTATAAGTCATACAAAAAATTTATCATTTAATTGATATTGTTATAAAAGTATAATTTATAGAATTCATATTATTATTAATGTTATTAAATCATATATTTTGATTTAAATATTATGTACTTGATAAATAACTTTTAGATATTTTTCCTATAGTATTTATCTAATAAGTTTAAACTCATTATTTCTTTCTTTCATTTTTAAAAATATCTTTAAAGCCAATAATTTTTTTATAGTTGCTGCCAGTGTTATAAAACCTACCACATAACACAAGAATTTATTTTTAAGTAAAAATATAGCGTTAATCTAGTTACTATTAATTTATTATCAAGTAGACAATCAATGACATAAAATTAGATAATTCGTTCCAAATTTTTACTTCAGAAATTGATTTTTTTTCAATAAAAACTATGTTATTATAGTAATTGGTACATGAATATTGTTTTAATTATTTATATATGTGTACAATATCCACAAATAGTTGTAATTCAATACCTTAGTATTAAATGGCAATAAATATATATTTTTAAATAAATAAAATATGTTACACAAATTAAAATATATATACCTCTATATCAATATTCAACCAAAACAAAAACAAAAAAATTTACTAAGTTAGTAATGATTTACTATATATATTATCGATGATTTACTACTAAATTATATCACTAATTTACTATTAAAATATGAATAATTTAGTATTAAGTGATTCATATTTTACTACTAAGCTGAAATTGATTTATTATAAGTTATCATTAATTTATTGTTATCACTAATTTATAATTAAATTATAACTGAATTATCATTAAATTATCAATAAATTCGACTAAGTTAACATTGATTTATTATTATAACTAATTTATTACTAAGTTTTGACTTCACTCTCGCTAGTAACTAGAGTTTAATCCTTAAAAAGTTCAAGTATAAAAAAACTTATCATCGATTGATAACTAAGTTATCGTGGATTTATTACTATATTATCAGTAATTTATTATTAAATTATCAAAGATTTACTATTAAGTTATGAAATATTTACTACAAAATTATCAATGATTAATTAATTTACTACTAAATTATCATTGATATACAACTAAATTATAAGTGATTACTACTAAATTCAATGATTTACTATTATATTATATGCATTTACTAATTACCATTGAATCTATTACTAACAATTTAACAATTAGCTATTAAGTTATCAATTATTTACTACTAAGTTATCAATTGAATTACTACTAAGTTATTTATGATTTACTATTAATTTATCAATAAATTACAATATATGAAATAATTTCCTTTTTATATAATAACATCATTGTTTCATTCATAATTTAGAATTTTTTTACTAAATATTTTTAATGAATAGGTTCATGGAAGGTTTATTATAGTTCCTAATGATGAAAGTTCTAGCTTTGTTCTTTCTAGTTACCAGGGTTCAATAACTGGTAACTTCATATATAAAAAAATGTTATCACTAATTAAACAATAAGTTATCAATTACATATTACTATCTTATCACTGATTTACAACTAAATTATCATTAATTTATCACTAAGTTATAGATGATTTACTATTAAATTATAAACAATTTACTACTAAATTATTGATAATTTACTATTAAGTTATAGATAATTTATTATAAAGTTATTACTAATTTATTATGAAGTTTTTGATGATTTAGTATGAAGTTATTAATAATTAACTAATTTACAATTAAATTATCATTAATTTATAACTAAATTATCACTAATTTACAGCTATGTTATCAATGATTTACGATGACATTATTAGTGATTTACTACTAAATTATCAATAATTTACTATTAAATTATCAACAATTTACTATATACTATTATGCATTTGCTACCATGTCATCATTGATTTGCTAATAAGTTTTAGTGATTAACTATTAAATTATCATTGATTTATTGCTAAGTTATTTGTGATTTACTGCTAAGTTTATCATTTAATTACTATTAAACTAAAATAGATTTACTATTAAGTTATTAGTAACTTATTACTAAGTTTTCCTTGATTTACTACTAAATTATCAATAATTAACTATTAAATTATCATTTATTTTTTATTGAGTTATCATTAATTTACAACTATGCTATTATGCATTTACAATTATGTTATATTGATTTACTATTAAATTATTATGCGTTTATTATTATGTTATTATTAATTTACTACTAAGTTATCAATTATTTACTATTAAATTATTATTGATATACTATTAAGTTATCACTAATTTACTATACTAAATTATCACTGATTAACTATTAATTTATCAATGATTACTATTAAGTTATATTGATTTATTTTTAATTATTAATTATTAATTATTACTAAGTTCTAAATTATTTACTACTAAATTATCATTAACTTATTATTAAGTTGTTTATGATTTACTGTTAAATTTGTCAATTAATTATTACTCTCTTTATCTATCCCAATTAACTTTCTTTTGTTAAATTTTTTTAATTTTGACATCTATTATTTTAAATATTTTAATAAATTTAATTTTATAAAACATATATTTAGAAACCACTTCATTTAAAGTTTTTAAAATATGTATTTTTTCAGATTTTTTATCAATAATAAATATAAAATAATAAGTGATTAAAGTTAAAAAAAATTGACCAACAAAAATAAAAATGTGATAATTATACTAGGATGGAGAAAGTATTAAATTGAATCTTATTTACTATTAACTTATTATTAATTTATTACTAAGTTATCATTGATTTACTATTAAGTTATCACTTATTTTTATTAAACTATCCTTAATTTACTAGTTTATTTTTATGTATTTACAATTATGTATAAATAATTTACTATTAAGTTATTTGTTATTTACTATTATATTATTATGTATTTATTATTATGTTATCCCTGACATACATCTATCTTACCAATTATGTACTATTAAATTATTATTTATTTACTATTATGTTATTAATAATTTACTAATAAGTTATCCATAATTTAATATATAGTTATCATTGATTTAATATAAAGTTATTATTGGTATTGTCTAAACTATCATTATCAATAATTTTGCTACTATATGACTCTTTCTACCTTTATTTGTTTGTCTTGTGGTGATTTTTACATAGTTTAAGAAAAATATTTTAACTTTAATATATTTAATATTAAAATTAATTTTTTATAAAATTAAAATTTTATGATTTTTAATGTTAAAAAGTAAAAAAAAAATCATAAAAATAATTTAAAATATAAAATGTAAGAGTATAGATATTTAAAACAGAAAATAAGACATAATTTTGGGACATCCTAAAAAAAATGGACAAAGAAAATAAGACAGAGGGAATATTATACATTTACTATCATGTTACAATTTATTTAACACTAAATCCTCTATAGTTAATTTAATTGTGTAAAACATATTAATAGACGTAATGTATTACAAACATTAAAATATTCATTTGTAAAAAAATTATTTTAAATCTTCTAGTCGTATTGCTTACTTTAAGTGGGGCATGAATGACTTAACCAAGAAAAACTATTTTAACAAGAAACTAAATAAAAAGTAGACAATATTTTAATTTGCTAAAAAAATTAAATAGAAATAAGTAGAGATAATTTAGTAAATTATCACATATTATATATAATATAGATATATATGAAACATCTTCTTAATTATAAAATGTCCCATTCAAAGTAAGCTATAAAATCTAAAATATGCACATGTTTGTCAGTTTTCTAAATTTTAGATAAAATTTAAATAACTATTTATAGTAAAGTTGGCTCAATTCCAAATAGGGCACTTTTTACACATTAATTAAAAAAATTTAAGGTCATGATATCATCTATAATCTAATACATTTTTTAATCATTTTCATATATATTATGATATATTGACCAACTGAATAATAAAAAGACTAATTTAGTAATTTGAGGATCTATATGAAATATTAATTGATTCATTTATCTTGTTTTTGTATATATACATATATATAATGTTATTTTATCAATTGAGTTAATTTTTTATCTTAATTGCAAGACTATATAAATAGATATGTTTTATTCCAGAACCTCATACTTCAAATTTTTTATAATGTGACTAATGAGTTCAATTATAAGTCTTCCATTCTTTATGAATTGAAGAATTATTTAAATATGCATGATTGGCATGTAGTGTATTATTAATAGGAGTCTACCAAATTAAAAAATCATTTTTAATATTGTTTGTAGTTCACATTTTTTTATGCATATATCATAGATGATATTTTATTTATGTATAATAAACACACTCATAAGAGTACAAATAATTATTAAATGGATACTTTCATGATAAGAATTCAAATCAATAATTATATACTTTAAGGCCATGTTTGATGCTAGAATTATTAATAGAATAAGATGATAATCATTTTATATTATATTTTATTTGTATCTAAGGAGAGGGATATGGATTATGAGGAGAATTAATATCCTCTTGGCATAGGATTATTCAATCCTCCAAAAATGAAGAGGATTATATTTAATCCATGGGATTAAACTTGCATGTCCAATTATACCTTTAAAAATTATATCAATAATTTAAATTATATAAATTTTGAGGAAGGATAATTTTGACAAATAAATAAATTATCTTATCATAATCCTTGCATACATCAAACACAAATTTTGATGATATTATTTAATCTAATCCTATTCATAATATTATCTTATCCTATATTCTCATAATTTTGTATATCAAATATGACCTAAGTATATAAACAAATAAAATGAAATGAACTATAACATTAATGTTTCAAAGAATATAATAATTAGTTAGAGAACTAACAATGCTTTGATCATTCAACAAAACACACACAATTAATCAATATTTTTTACTATCAAAACACAAAAATATGTTAGAGTATTATTAATTGAAAATAATAAATTCATATTTTTCAAGAAAAAATAATGAAATATATTGATAATATTATTTTTAAATTTCACAAATGAAGTTAGCAGCATGATATATACTTTTTAGGTTTTAGAGTATATTAAAAAAAAAACTAATTGAAAAAAAAAAGTGAGTGATGGGTTAATTTCTTAACCCACTTATGGAAATAAAAAAAACTTAACTATCAATATATTAAATAATTTCTTTCTTCAATATTAATGTTTCTTACCAATATTGTATTTGGTTTCATAAATTTTTTTTTAAGTACTAAATATTTGAAATTACGTATAAAAAATAAGGATAGACCGAAATTAATTTGGGTGTAGTATAGAATCAATCTATAAACGATGAAATAAAAACTAAGTTTAGTGACAATTCAAGAGTACATGAGATTATGTTCATAAAGTAAAGATTCATTTAAGCATTATAATGTTAAGGTGTGATTGCATAGAGTGATTAGAAATATTATAATCAACCATTGCAATCATCAAACATATAAATGTATATTTATCATAAAAAAAAACATATAAACTTACCATAATACATGTATTACTCTTTTTTTAATAATTTTTTGATAATTTAATTTATAATTTTATATGAACTTTAATTTTAATTAATCTAAATTAAATAAATAAAAAATATAAATATATTTAAGGACTCATCATATAAACCATTAAAAAAGATAAAGAGTAAATTAGATTGTATCTTAAAAATGAAAAATTATATGCTTTACTTGAGATAAAGTTTAAATGTTTTGATGGCATACACATTATGGTCTAATAATTTAGACTAAAACAATTAGTAATTGAGAAATAAAGAAAAGATTTGTCTATATTTCGCTCAAAATCACGAACTCATAGTATATCATAGGCTATAGGATGAGAAATGTATTTTATATGAATTTGATTGAATTATTACTTATGAAATTTAACAAAAAAGAATTCTAAAAATAAATATGAGAGTTAATTTGAGTTAATTTTGGACAATAGATCCACCATATCCTACAAATAAATTTTTAATGTAGTTTAATTTGATATAAATTTTATAATTTTTAATTGATTTAAATTTAAATAAGTAATGAATAAAAAGCTATATATTTAATGTCAAATAATCATTATTAAATAAATAAATAATGCTAAAAATTGAAATATAAATGTGTTAATTTTTAAAATTTATAAGGATATTTATGTTATTCATATTTAACACTTTTAGATTTAATTTAAATAACTAACTAATAAAAGTTATATATTTAATGACAAATAATCTTTATTAAATAAATAAAAAATGCTAGAAATTTAAAGGTAAATTTATTATTTCTTAAAATTCATAGAGGTATTTATGTCGTTCACTTTTAATACTTTTAGAGTTCACACTTTTATATATGGATGATATTTTAAATAATGATATCAAAGTATTATTTCATCCATGTGCAATGTATGTGTAGAATAAACTAGTATTACATGAATGCTCAAGGTTTGTCATTTTTCCTCAACATATATAAAATCAACTATATATTGATTGAATCTAAATAGCAATGTTAAATTAATGCTTCTAAATAACATTGTGCCTTGATTGTTCATTAATAGACATTCAATTAATTTCTTTTAGCTAGAGTATGATCTACTATCTATCTACCTTACAAAAACTAATTAAGTTTGAATAATAATATGTTTTCAGGTTCCATTCCTTCCTCAATCTTCAACATTTCTACATTGCAAGTAATTCAGCTAGGGAAAAACAACTTCTCAGGTCATCTCTCATCAGATATGTTTAATCACCTTTCTGAATTACAATCGCTTGACTTGAGTCAGAATCAATTTTCCGGAAGAATTCCGACAAGTTTATTCAAGTGCAAAGAGTTACAATACCTATATTTGTCCTACAATCAATTGAAGGGGACTGTGCCGGTAGAAATCCGGAATTTAACTTGGCTTACGGAGTTGGCTCTCGACCATAACAACTTCCAAGGTAAAACATTAATTCATTCTTATAACAATGCTTACATTTTTGTCTTTAATTTCAATTTTCATCTAAAATTTTATGTATAACAAAAACTTGAATTCAAATATTCTTTTATAAATTAAACATTTAGTTTGTGGCTGTGATCTTTTGGCCACTTTGAACTTGTTTATCACTTTGAGATACTTTGTCTAAAGTTTTTGAAGCTTGCTAGTGTGAATTAGTGTATTTTTTTTTAATACAAAGTGGTCATAGTTTGGTAAGAGTAAAAAATAATTCACATGTTAGAATTTGAATTTCAAATTTGTTAAATATTATTTTTTAAAAAAATGATTATACGAAGTAATTAGGGTAAGCCTTGTGCTCAATTTATGTATCATTTTGCTATACTATTTATGTTATGCGTTAGCAAAAAATAAAATAAAATAAAATATCTAATAAAGTTTTATCTTTTCATCGTGCTTATGTTTGGTCACTTGGATTGGAAAATTTTTCTTTTATATGTTCAAAAGTAACTATTACTTACTAAAACAAAAAATGAAAAAGCTAAAAAATTCATTTTGCTTTAAAAAGGAAACAAGAACTTTTGTTTATTTACAATAACCAAAGGCTTTTTGAAAACTAATTCAACTTAAGTCTTTTGGATATTCAATGCTACATATTTGAAAAATGCCATACTAGCCATTGTTAGGAAATTTTGATTTCTCCTTTTGAGCTATAACTAGGATTTTCAAAAATTATAATGCAAAAATAAATGGAAATTAAGAAGATTAGAACACCTCTTTTCTCACAAGTGCTCGATTGAAAAATGGCCTTCTTAATTAATTAATTATTTATTTATTTGTTGCAGTACTTTCTCAGAGGAAAATTTTAACCTATAATGGATGATTTAAACTCGTTTTCCAGGTGAAATTCCACCAATTATTGGAAACATGAGTTTTCTTGGTGTACTGTTTCTTCCCTCTAACAATTTCACAGGTATAGTATCATCTCCATTCCTTTTTTTATCAGGTTTCCACATGTCAGAAATTCTTTCAATTACGTCTGAATTTGAAAATAAGGATTTAGATTTCAAAATTATAGTACTAATTGTGTGATATTGAAAGAGCAAATTAATATAAATATGACTTTATTAGAAGTTTTCTTTAACACAACTCAAGTCATTAATAAAAATTTAGTACATGTAAGAGAAAATTATTTGTCCCTAGAAAGTATTTTAAACATTTCTTATTAGAGCTTTCCTTTCTGTTAGATTAAATTTTGACATAGAATACATAATGTAAATAATTAGTGAAGTAATTGCTTTTCATAGTTTTATCCTCAACTATAATTTTCTAATTTAACTTATACCTATGTAAGCTGTTGATAGATTGTTAAATTATTAATTTCACTTATCAGATTTACCGAATTCAATTCTAACAATTTCAAATAAAAAAAAAATAATTGGCCTAGGTATCATGGAAAAAGTTCCAAATCTACAAGGGAATGTAAAAGAGTTATTTTTCTTGCTAAAGAAAAAAGATCACAATATTTTATTTACATTTTTCGGAGCAAACCTCTTTTAAATTAGAATCTTCAAACTCATAATCTTGTTCAAATTTGCTCCTAGGACGACTTCCATCTCCACCACCTTCATTGAGATGGTTCATGGTTTCAGACAATAATTTAGTTGGAGACATCCCTTCCTCAATTTGCAATGTGAGGTCACTTCAAGGTCTCAGCTTGTTTAAGAATAATCTCGTTGGAACTATTCCACAATGTCTTGGAAACTTAAGCTTTTCCCTTGTAGACTTGGAGTTACAGATGAATAATTTTCATGGTACAATACCAGGAAATTTTTCTGAAGGTTGTTCATTAAGAAATTTTAACCTGAATAGCAACCAGCTGAAAGGGTCACTACCACGATCTTGGGTTAATTGTAGAGACTTGAAACTTTTAGATCTAGCAAACAACAACTTAAATGACACTTTTCCCCATTGGTTAGGAATTTTGGATATAGAAATTCTTGTCTTGCGATCTAATAGATTCTATGGTCGGATAGACAATTTTGAAGTTACATCTTCGTTCTCTCATTTGCGGATCATTGATCTCTCCCATAATGATTTCATTGGCTACTTACCAATGAAATTTTTCGAAAATTTGCATGCTATAAGAGATTCGAACAAAAGGAAAGCAGAGTACATGATAGATTTATATGATGAAGATCGTTTTTATGATAACTCAGTATTGATTACGACGAAAGGGTTGGAGTTACAATTCATTGACATCTTAACAACTTTCACAGCAATAGACTTTTCAAGTAATCGATTCGCTGGACAAATTCCTGAAGTACTTGGAGAACTTCATTCCCTTTTAGTCCTCAACCTCTCTCACAATAGTTTAACAGGTTCTATCCCATCAGTGTTAGGGAATTTGTCAGCACTTGAATCATTAGATCTCTCGTCAAACAAGCTCCAAGGAAGAATTCCTCAAGAACTAGTGAATATGATATTCTTAGAGGTATTAAACCTATCTCAGAATCATTTTGTGGGACAGATTCCTCAAGGCAATCAGTTTGGTACTTTCTCAAATGATTCCTACATTGGGAACTTGGGTTTATGTGGACTTCCTTTATCAAAAAAATGTGATGATGATCAGAATTCGGAAACTCATCCAATAAAGTTTGATGAAGATGATGATACCACAAGAGAATTGAATTGGAAATTTTCTATATTGATGGGTTATGGATGCGGATTGGTGCTGGGACTGAGCATGGGATACATTGTATTTACAACTGGAAAACCATGGTGGTTCATTAGGATCATTGAGAGAGTTCTGCAAAAATATGTTACAGGGAAAAACCGAAGAAGACAAGGAAGAAAACAACACAACTAATACTCTTAGGTGAGTTTCGATATTTCTAACAAAAAATATCTGCTTTTTTTTTATCTTAATTTCTTTAACAAGTTTTAACAATTATGACCAGATTTTATGTGTTGCAGTAAGGATACTCCAAGGGAGGCCTATTTCTAACAGATTGGCAAATGGGACATTCTTGATAAGAATTCAAGAAGGGAGATTTTTCAAGTCCGGCAGGATATCCTATATTGTTATACGTTAAACATCGTTGTGTTTTAGGTTACTGTTTGTTTCCAGTTTGTTGGATTATAGTGACTAGTTTCTGCTGTAATATTACTCCATAAATTCTACAGTGCTTCCCTATAACAATGATATGCAACTTCCTTTGCACATCGTTATCTTCAATAAAGTTAATGAGCACTAACTTCAAATTTTGAATGATTTTTTTTTTCATTTTTTTCAAATCTTTTTAACCAAGGAAAACAATCATTTGCAGTTCAATTACAGCTTTCCAAAGATCTGATAGAATATGATAATCCCCTGTTTTTCTTCGAACTAATGATAGTTTTATTCAACATTATTCTATATACAAGCTTACTCTTATATGTCTCTCCCTTTTAAAATATTCAGACTGATTCCCAAGTACTTAGCCCACAGGTGACAGCATTTTGACTGATGGTTAGTTCATTGTCAAAATACAACAAATTTATTAGCAGAATCAGTGGATAACCGATGATTTCACAAAACTGCCTGTAAATGGGTTCTTTGGTGAGTTGAGGAAATGTTGCAAATAAATAGAACAAGGTGTGAGTTGGGATTTTTTTAAGCAGAAACAAATTCCCAATGAGATCAACACAAAATAAATCACACGCAAGAGGCAAAATTTAACATGATTCGGCTTAATTGCCTACATCCACGGATGAGAGAGAAAATCCATTTAAAAAAAACATAGAGATTACTAAGAGTACACAACATCATAAATAAACACTAATCTTGAGCCCCTGAAACAATCCTAATTTTCATGCTCCATAGCATATAACTTATCGAATATCTTTTATCCCATGCAACCAGTGTTTTCCCAAAGAAACTATTTTTTGCATCCTTACACCTATCTCCCATATAAAGATCTTATAACTCTCTCTTTCATAATTCTAAAAGTTAATACTTACTTTATATTTATAAAGCTCCATTACTTGATCACCAAGAATTTCTATTTACTAAGAACTCTTACCCCATTAAGAATATTTATTCTTAATGATCAAGTAATTCTTTAACTAATAGAATTTCACCAAATTCAAATTGATTTCCAATTAGAATTTGAGTCAATATCTAACAAAACTCTACCTTGACACAAATTCTACCACAACATTGACCTTCAATAAATCCCAACTACACATGGTTGAATCAATGTGACTCCACTAGATTCAAACAAGATGGTTAGTACTCATGTGCAGCCAAATCAACTTTACCCAACTGAGTCCACATGCAACTAATGCCTTGTTGCAACATATTCTCTTGCATGTCTCTGATCTTACAAACACAATCTACAACAACAAATCCCCTTCCACAATTGATGTGGGATAACCTCAACAATCTCCCTTTTCACACATCGAGTTGTAAAAGAGAACTTCCATGCCTAGCTCATGAGGAGATGTTGGCAACAATCAATGTGGGATAACCTTAACAATCTTTCCATTTCACACATTGGGCTATAGAAGAAATCTTTTATGCCTGGCTCATGAGGAGATGTTGGCAACCTGACTCCAATACCACTTGTTGGGATTTTTTTAAGTAGAAGCAAATTCCATAATGAGATCAACACAAAATTAATGACACGTAAGAGGCAAAATTTAATGTGGTTTGGCTCAATTGCCCACATCTACGAATAAGAGAGAAAATCCACTATAAAAACGTAGAGATTACAAAGAGTAAAAACCACCATAAATAAACACTAATCTCGAGCCCCTGAAACAATCCTAATTTCCATGCTCCCAAGTGTATAACCTATGGAATATCCTTTATCCCATTCAACTGGTGTTTTTTCAAACAAACTCTTTTTCACATCCTTACGGACTTACTCATATGGAGATCTTATAACTCTCTCTCTCATAATTCTAAAAGTTAATACTTACTTTATATTTTTTAAAACTCCATTACTTGATCACCAAGAATTTCTATTTACTAAGAACTCTTACTCATTAAGAATATTTATTCTTAATTATCAAGTAATTCTTTAACTAATAGAATTTCACTAGAATTCAAACTAATTCCCAATTAGAATTTGAGTCAATATCTAATAGTGTGCCGAGAGATGGTAGAAAGGAAGATTGGAGCATACTTTGAGGTATTAAGTGTAATGATATCTAGCATGTGGTAATAAGTGGTGAAGCAAGGCTAAGTAAGGAAAAGAATAAGGCTAAAAAAGAATATAGGAAGAGAGAATTGAGTAAATTTGCTAGAAATCTCCAAAAGTCCTCCAATAAATTGTGGAAACTCCTATTTATAAGTTTCAAGAATAGGAGTTACATATCTTAAATATTGAATATTAATAATGATGAAATTGACAATTATAAAAAGTGTTAATGTATTAAATATGAATAATGGTAAATAATGGGGAACTAGCTGTTACAAAAGATGTTAATATATTGGTTAATAAGAGTTTAATTAGCTTTTGGTGATAGTCATGGTGAACATAGAAGTTCATTATCTATTTTGAAAAAAAAGGGAGGGGAACATTCATATCTCGATAAAAGTTAAGAGGAAACCTCTTAACTATCTTTATATCTGATCCACCAAACTAAGTTTTTTGAAACATCCCAATGATGAAATTAACTCAAGAACCCTATCATATTCTAGGGTTATTTTCACTTTTACTTTCAGTGAAATAACATTCGGTGAAACATCTTTTATGGAATAACCCTTAGTAAAGCAACTTTTAGTGAAAGAGTTTTCGATAAAGATGTTGGTGTTATTCCTTGAGGAAGTTGTTCCATGAAGGTGTTATTTCGTACATAACTGTTTTGTGAAAGAGTTATTCCATGACTAGCTATTCCGTCAAATAATCTTTACTAAAACATTCTAATCACCTACTTAGACTTATCCTTAACTTTAACAATTTTAGAAAAATTTAAAAGAATAAAATATTAGTAATCAAAATGAAATATCTACATTTTGCCCCTAATATAAGAATTTTAATATAAGAAATTCTCATGCACTAGTATAATGAAAGAGTAAAAGTAATATATATATATAATAAGTATGATATATTTATTCTCATAATTTAAAGATGAATAACATTACCAGAAAAATGGGCTTTATCGACAGAATTTTCTATCGATAAAAGCTAAAAATCCATCGATAATACTTTTATTGATGGTTTTATCAACGGAATAATTTTGTCGATGTTAACTATATTGGTAATATTATTCTATCGGTAATGCTTAAAATTTATCAGTAATTACTAACAAAAAATCCATCTGTAATTACCGACTAATTTATTGGCGACAATTTTACCTATAAAATTTTTCATCGATAATTAGCTACGAAATTTTTCGTTGGTAAAATTGTCAATAAATCTATCGATAATGGATTTTTTTGGTAAGTAATAAAAAAATCCATCAATAATAATTAAAATTCCATCAATAATAGTAAATTTTATCGGTAATAACCATAAAAATAATCATAAAATAATTTTTTCCATCGATAATAGTAAAATTTTATCGGTAAATTCGTTAGTAAAAGTACAAATTCATAAATAATTTAAATAAAAAGATTTATAATTATTCAAAAAACCTATAATTATTTCCAAACCTTGTAAATTACAATTTAAACATGTGTAATTATTTAAATTTGCTATTATTATTAATTAAAATATCAAATCAAAGTAACATTCATCAAATACATCATCCAACATTCATCAAACATCTATCAAATATCCATAACATCATAAAATATCAATTCATAAAATATCCATAGCATCCATCCATCCATCCAATACCTCATACAAATCCAACAGAATATGTCACTATACTACTGCTGCACCTCCTAATTTAGAATATCTAATGCCGTCATCAGGTCTAGAATATTGTGATGTTGGAGTCTGTCTAGACCCTATCAATTGCATCATCTGCTTCATGAATGATCTAAGCTCAAGTCTTAGCTTAGTTCTCAACTCATCAATTCATTCTTCTATCTGAAGCTGATGAGTCTGAGAAGGCAAAGATAATGAACCACAAACAAAGTTAGATGACCCTACTATAGTAGTAGATTAAGTTGAATGAAGGAAGCCCCTAGATCTATATGTTGATCCAAAGCCATGCACATGAGTGCATGTAGCTTCAACCCCTCTAATAGCTTCAGTCCATACTTGTGGATCAAATTCTAGATGATTGGAATAGTCTTCACCGTATTTCTAAGATAATGCAACAGCATAGTTTTCCTACAAAAAGTCTAAAACACTAATCATTACTACAAGATCTATATAGTTCACTAAAATATCACAACTTAAAAAATTCACAACTTTAAACAATTAAAAATTTCAAACAATTCACAACTTTAAGCATAATTTTCACATTTTATAAATTCATTGCATTTCAATATACACTAAACTATATACTTCAATACAAGATTTCCTACAATGTCTTTGCTTTCAATTACTTCACTATATACTTCATTAACAATCAAAATACACAAATAGAATCATAAACGAAAATATACAAAAATTTTCACCTTTCACAAATGTGATCTCATCTAGATAACATGCAAAAACCTTTCACAAATAAGTAGTTATCGTAATATATTATTAACATACATATTTCATCAATAATCAAAATACACAACCATCATCATAATGCAAAAAATGCAATACTTGATCAATAATCACAATACATAACCTTTATCACACTATACAACTAGAAGCACAAAGCAAATTACGCAACAATTTTCATGATTTCATAGCCTTTGCATCACAAAACACATAAGATATCATTTATTTCAATAAAGCAAGGCAATAATTTCATCATTATTCAGTCATTTAAAAGTCACATACATTGACAATGCTGAACTTGTTGTCAACGAAGTCACCACATCCTCCTGAACTTTTGTGAGTGCGATTGAAAATTTCTATAAATGTGGGTTCTTGTTGCAACTCAGGTGATTGCATTTGTTTAGACACATTCAATGTAAACCTAACAATTTTTTATATGAAATGATGATATGATATGAAAATAATATGAAAAAATCATGTGTTTTAAAAAATATATGTTTCGTGTTTATTCATGTCAACACAAATTTTCACACAACACAATTCGTGTCTTATATGTGTTAACATGTATAAGACAAGAAAAACATGTTTAAATAAAACGTGTTATTCAAAAACGCATTTAACACATGACATGACACAAAAACATGTTTAACATTTTTTTATATTTATTTTAATTTAATATAAACATATAAGGATTACTTTAAACATTTAATTATGATAGTGATTTAATAATTATTATAAAATTATTTTTATATTAATAATATAAATACAATATAAATAATAATATTAGTTCAATACATTATTACTTTATTCTTTAATCTTTAGTAATTCATCATTTTGGATTTGACAATAAAAACTAATATGGTTATGTATACATTTATGATTGTTATATTAGTAATGTATATATTAAAATTGAAATATATAATATATGTTAAATGCATATTAAATGGGTATAAATTTTTTTTTATTTTTTAAATATGCAAGTATTTTTTTATATTAGTAATATATATAATATATAAATTTTAACATATTAAATATATATTGTTCTTTGTAACATTTTATAATAAGATTACAAAATATTTTTTATTAACAAAAGAATTTAGAATGACAAATATATACTTAATTGTTAACAACAAGTAAAATTCAACAATATGATCATTGATAAAGCAAAGCAAATTTAAATCATTTAAATATTCAATAATATATTATAATGATAATAGATAACATTTATAATGATAAAAAATTATATGATAATCTTAATAACATAAATCATAATATGCAATTCTTTTAAATTATAAGAGTTAAAATAAGAGATTATACATTTGAAATTAAAAATAATACTTATTCTAAATAATATGTTAAATGATAAGAAAAATTTATAATTTATTCTATATTACATGATACTATATTATTAAAATGTAACCTGTAAATTATTGTTATTTTTTTAATACTCTCAAGCTAGTAGGTTCATATGCCTTGAACTGGGCATGATGTTTGATGATATATATTTACTATCTATTCATGTATATTAGTGTTATTCATGTATATCAGTGTGTATCGGTGTTATTCGTGCATATCAATGTTATTCGTGTTTATCAATGTATATTAGTGTTATCAGTGT